CCACTTCTCTATGAAAAACATTCTAATTGGCTCAAATTTTCCTTAGATCACTCAGGTATTTAGAGTATGTTACTATCACAAGAAATAGGCATCAACGCATATAATTCAAAGAAGATTTCAGTACTTTCCAGAATATTGTAGATGTCATATTGAATATCAACTACACACAAAAAAAGAATCTCTTGCATTGAGCATGACTGCATTGGTCCAAGAAAATAATTTGTTTGTATATAACGAAAGAGATGATATACTTGTTTCGGAACAATGATTTATTCAACAACTCTCTTGTAGGAAAATCAAGATATGCATGGTTGGAGATGTTCGTTATGTTGAAGTGAGAATTGAAATAATTCATATTGACAAAACCATTTACTTATTTCAGGAAAACCATAATTTTGAGATATGGAATCCATTCACCAAATGAAAACAATCATTTTCTCGATTTGCAGCTATGGATTACTATTATTGAGAATTTTTCTGTTTCATTTCAAAATAATGATTCTCCCCAATGGGACTATTTTCTTGTATCAAAATATTGACTGCTTGGTTGAAAATATAATAATGTTTTTGATTAAAAACTGTGAATGATTCCTAATGAGATAACTAAACTCCACAGAATATTCGTGAAAAAATATATATTTGTTCCTTTAGTTTACAATAATCCCATGTATAGGTTTGTACATCTTGAATCAGTATTGTCCATCATGACCCCAAATGGTTATAGAATAATCACATGCATTGATTTCGTCTTCTTGAAGTTTCGCTGAAAATGATAACGGTCACAAACAATGACATAAGTAATATGATTGATTTAAAACTCACCTCTATAATATGTAATATCGTGACTCCAGTAATATCATGCCTTCTGGAAGATATCGGGTATATAGATTCGAGATACTCGGCAGGAAACTTCCTCACCTAATTTCAAGGTTCTTTCAAGTCTTTGCAAGTCATTTGTAGATAATACTTCTTCATTCATCAACCAGTCGTCATTTTGCTACAAAAGAATTTCGTATGAATCAATAAGCATATTTTCATAGCAGGATACTACTGAATTCCTGTTATTTCGATTGAAAAATCGTTGATTCACTCACAATGACTACCGAAAATTGCAAAGGTATACCTACTTACCAAGGGAATTCAATGTTATTCCTTCACCAGCTCTCTGCAAGTTCAGCATTTGTTAGATATTTATATCTCAAGACATTTCCACCTATACACACTCAATAAAACATCCAGGATTTTCAAACTTCGCAGCTTAATGCCGTTTCGCCGGTGTGGGCCTGTCATAATGATGTGAGCATGGTCAATAATGATTGAAGACTGAGGCCTGAGTTTTGGCAACAGGATTGCTTACCCTTGATTTCCGAGGGCATATTATTCTCTTCCAAAGAAATACCTATCCATAGATTTGAATCAAGTAAATATAGTATTGAATCAAAATGTTGCTTCTTCCATTAGAGAAATTATCAATATCATCAAGTTGAAGATATTACATTCCTTTCATTTGAGAAAATTGATATTCATATCTTTGAATCAAGTAAATATGGCATCGAATAAAACTATCAGGAGTCTTCGATTTGATTAAATTATAATATCAATATGATGAAATTAGAATGCTTTATTTGAAGAAATTATCATTTATATTTTTGTTTCAAGAAAATGACGTATTGCCTCAACATATTAGGTTTTTGAAATTCAAGAAAACTGAATATGTCGTTCGAAGAAATGGACATTCTTTGATTTGAAGAAATGTATACTTATATTCTTGGATCAAGCAATACATTTATTGAAACAAAATAGAATGCTTCTGCGAATTAAAAAATTGTTTTGATTGAGTTGAATTTCAATAATATGACACTATTTTCTTGAGCATACCAGATGTTTCGACTCAAAAGAATATGCTCAATTCAAAGAAGATATACAATTGAATTTTCAAGAGAATGGGTTTTCTCTTTCGAAGAAATTTTTTTTCTGTGTGTAACTATACCTGTTATTCTGTTTGCATTTTCTGAGGAAATTTACCCTAGTAATGTATATATTTTTCACACAATCAGAAAGTAGAGATTTCAACAAACAAAAAGCTCATCGACTTTTTTGAAAAAGCAGATATTTTGACGTGAGAATTTTCGATTCAGAATTAGGGTGCTTTTTCTTTATTAAGTTTAATGAGGTGGAAAAATGAATATTCTGAATCAAAGAAATTACAATGTATTCGGGATATAAAGTGGTGAGTTTTCACTAAATTTCGTGAGAAAATATTTTTATTCTAAAAGATAAAATAAAAACCAATTACTTGGTTATCTGATTTTTTCAAATAAATCTCGAGGTTATGTGAAAATAGTGTAAATATAAAAGTTAGAGATATTAATATTGTCTACAACTTTGCTCTCCAACTTTTTTCCATTGGGTTTGAAGTTTTGCTGAAAATCGAGATAAACCGTTTTTTACAACCTTGAAAACTCACCCCCTACCACTTTCCGACCTCAGATTGACCTTGATTTATTTTCCCCTTCATCTTCGTTATACTCTCTTCCTTTTTCAATGAGTTTCATACTACTTTAATTTTTCTCCACATTTTACCGTTTTCAAAGGCTTCAGCACTGGTCTATATAACTCACTAAGTATCGTGGAGCCGCCATCCTAAATAATTTATCCACACATCAGTTTCGAATAGAATTGGAGTGTAATAATAAAAGTCGTTCGATATCGCTTAAAACCATCATTTCGTTTTATTGACTAACAAAAGCAATTTTGACAAGATAATTATAATCTCCGACTCGAAAATCCTCAGTTACCAAATTTGAATATGATCGGATCATGATTACGAAACTCGTCTGCCATATTGGAGTCGCCATTTTGAATTTTCCGATTCTGCCGCCATCATGAACTTTCCAATTTTGATGAAAGAATCATGAGTCTCGACCCCAAAAGCCCTCAGATAGCAATTTCAAATAGAATCGGATCATAATCACAAAACTCGTCCGCCATATTGAAGCCGCCATTTTGAATTTTTAAACTTTGATGAGATGATCTCAATTCGCTAACCCGAAAACTTTCAGATACGAATTTTGAATGAAATCGGATCATAATTACAAAACACGTCTGCCATATTGGAGCCGCCATTTCGATTTTTTTTATTTTGCTGCCAACATAAATTCTTGAATTCTGATGATAAAATCATAAATGTGGACACCGCAAACCCCCAGATACCAATTTCAAATAGAATCGGATCATAATCACAGAACTCGATTGCCATATTGAAGCCGCCATTTTGAATTTTTCAGCTTTGATGAGAGAATCTCAATTCTCTAACCCGAAAACCTCCATATACAAATTTTGGATGAAATCGTATCATTATTACAAAACTCGTCTGCCATATTGGAGCCGCCATCTTGGATTTTTCAATTTCGATAAGAGAATCGTAATCGTTGACCCCGAAAATCCCTAGATGCAAATTCTGAATAGAATCGGATTATAATTACAAAACTCATCCGTTATATTGGAGTCGCCATTTTGAATTTTTCGATTCTGCCGCCATCATGAACTTCCCAATTCTGATGGAATAATCATGAGTCTCGACCCCAAAAACCCTCAGATACCAATTTCAAATAGAATCGGATCATAATCACAAAACTCGTCCGCCATATAGAAGCCGCGCCATTTTGAATTTTTCAACTTTGATGATAGAATCTCAATTCTCTAACCAAAAACCTTCAGATACAAATTTTGAATGAAATCGGATCATAATTACAAAACTCGTCTGCCATATAGAAGCCGCCATTTCGATTTTTTCGATTTTGCCGCCAACATGAATTATTCAATTTTGATGATAGAATCATAAATGTCGACCCCAAAAACCCCCAGATACCAATTTCAAATGGAATCGGATCATAATCACAAAACACGTCCGCCATATTGAAGCCGCCATTTTGAATATTTCAACTTCGATGGAAGAATCTCAATTCTCTAACCCGAAAACCTTCATATACAAATTTTGAATGAAATCGAATCATAATTACAAACCTCGTCTGCCATATTGGAGCCGCCATTTTGAATTTTTCAATTTTGCCGCCATCATGAATTCCTCAATTTTGATGAAAGAATTATGAATGTCGACCGCGAAAACCAGATACCAATTTTGAATAGAATCGGATCATAATTTCAGAACTCGTCCGCTAATTGGAGCCGCCATTTTGAATATTCCAATTTCATTGAGAGAATCATAATCTTGGACCCCGAAAACCTCCAAATACTAATTTTGAATAGAATCGGATTCATAACTACAAAACTTGTCCGCCATATTGGAGCCGCCATTTTGAATTTTCAATTTTGATGAAAGAATCATAATTATTGACCCCAAAAACCCCCAGATACAAATTTTCAATTAAATCGAATCATAATTACAAAACTCGTCCGCCATATTGGAGCCGCTATTTTGTTTTCATCTTCAACAAAAATTTCATAATGCATTGTCACCGGAATTCATGAGTCTCGCACACCATGCTACGTTGCCAGTTCTTTGGTCCCCATTTCGTGCCCATCATATCATTTCACTGGGACTGAAATATACACGTACAGAAAGTATACTCGCGCAGCAGCGTTCCAAGTGGCAATATCCTGAACTAAAATAAATGAATTTTATCATACTTGGTTCAAAGTGAGGTCCACCATACATGGGCAGTAGATTGATTATCAGTGGGAGATTTGTGCAAACAGTCAATGAACCTAACTATAGCAGCATCGTATCCAGCAGAAATACTACTTTTAACTGCAAATTGAGAAGAAGAGCAGATTTAACAGGTGAAAACGTTATGAGGACCGTATACGGACCTCGCTTTGACATGGGCCTCACAACTTCCGTGATTTTTGCACAATCGGACCTCACTTTATACGCCAGAAATATATATCATATGTGTATATATCCCTATTATAAACAGATATGTTTCTTGGGGTAATAAAGAACAACATATTCATCCGATTATATTATTTCTCCAAAGGTCATGAAGATTATGAAAACTGTGATGGAAGAAGCGATGGCCCACCTATCCTACGATCCTCAAGCCTGTAACAAGCAGGCCAAATGGGCGTCTGCCTCCGTGAGGTCTAAGGTGAGACAGTTGAATTACCACAGATACAAAATCGTATCGGTCGTGACCATAGGAGAAAAACACTCTCAGGACATCTTCAGTACGTGTAGATTTCTCTGGGATGCAGAGAAAGATAGATATTCTTCTTATGTCGTAGAGAATACTAATGTGTATGGTATTGGACTTTGTTTCGGTATGTACTATGAGTGAAAACTCAAGAGATGTGTTATATACCGAAAGAATTCAAGGGATGTTTGCTTTTGTGACATTCTAGCAAATAAAGTTCATTTAAACATGTGTTCTAACTTGCATCGTTTTTGAGATACAGTATGTTGAAGTTGGAAATATTAATTGTTTTCATACACAGATACAAAATCGTATCGGTCGTGACCATAGGAGAAAAACACTCTCAGGACATCTTCAGTACGTGTAGATTTCTCTGGGATGCAGAGAAAGATAGATATTCTTCTTATGTCGTAGAGAATACTAATGTGTATGGTATTGGACTTTGTTTCGGTATGTACTATGAGTGAAAACTCAAGAGATGTGTTATATACCGAAAGAATTCAAGGGGTGTTTGCTTTTGTGACATTTTAGCAAATAAAGTTCATTTAAACATGTGTTCTAACTTGCATCGTTCTTGAGATACAGTATGTTGAAGTTGGAAGTATTAATTGTTTTCATTTTTGACCCCCGTGTATAAGCTTTTATGGTGCCAAAATTCAGTATGGATGGAGACTGAGAAAGCACCAAAATTCCAGAATGATTCTAATTGGGGTTATTGAGTAATCTCAATGGAAGTCTTGAAAGCACCTACATTAAAATTTGGAGTCAAATCGAAATTTTATTGTTCCCTCGAAAACTAAGCTAGATACATAAATCACACAGGGTATAAAAAAAGTTGTTATTTCAATATTTCAATCTAATAAGAATATGAAACTCAGAAAAACCAGTGGTGTACAATGACATTCACCATGCATATCGATAAATTTTCCCACTGTGACGCCACTGGAAAATATTATTTCGAATCTAATTGCACTAGAAGAAGCTCCATATTTCTATCAACAAAACCCCAACGTTGTATTGAAATTGATGAAGACAAGTGATAAATGAATATAACATATATTTTTCAATGAAACACCCTGTACTTCATCATTTCGTCGAATTCGCTATTTTTTTCTCATCAAAATGATGGATAATACTTAATACATAGTGTTTCGAAAAATGCTGAAAAAACACTGAAACATCAAATTATTATGAAATTTTGCTAGTGGGCTATGGTTTCCACGATCTTGTCCTACTTTCTGTTGAATGTCGAGATGGCCAAATCAGATTTTGCGTAGCTGTTCCTGTTCATGAGATACACGCAATTTTGAAAATTCATAGTTATACAGAATAATGGATTGGTGTTTCGGAATCTTGAATCTGATAATTTGATTGATATTTGATATCATATTATCACAAGATATGATTTGAAGTAGTTTAATAATACAGGGTTGTCATTCAATGATACAAACTATACAGGTTGGTTGGAAGGGATATTCATATGTTGTCCAATTACTTAATTTTTCTCGCAAATATTTCGAAGAAGACAGTTCAAGGTTCAGAAACATGGATTTCGAAAGATTTTCATCAATTACATGAAGCACCAAATGAGAAATATTATAAAAGTGATGAATTATGTGAAAAAAAAGTTTATGAATCAAAGTCATTAGCAGAGTAGACTTCTACTACGTTGACATTGCCCCCAATAAATTCAATGAGAATTATGCAGCTCATTAAATGCAATTATCTCTATGATGTCTTCAAATATTTTTTAATAAAAATTTTGCTCTGTCCTGATGGACAGACTCGTGAAAATCGCATTTATGGCACGAACGTGGGGTATGTGACACTCCCCATCAGAAAATACATTGAAGTAGGTACCAAATTATAGTTTTTTATACCCAGAAATCCCTAGTTTCCAAGAACGTCGAAGTTATTGCGAAAAAATACTTTTTCAACTTTGGCATGCTGAAACTCTCTCATTAGCAAGTCGAAAACCTACCACAATTCTATGTACAAATAACCAAGGATAACCCTGTATATATACAGGGTGTATCTGAATAACACCAAAAAAATTCAAGAGGTGATTTCTTGTCATATTTTAGGAAATAATGTTCACATAAACATGTGTCCTAACTTCCTTCGTTTTCGAGATACAGGGTATTAATATTTTCATGAAAAATTCTTTCTATTTGTGTCGTATCTCCAAAACTGAATCCCGAAAAAAATGTTGAATACGTCACTTCGTAGATATAGATAAGTGGTTCAAGAAGTATAAATTTTCAAACTCATCCTGTATCTCATAAAAGGAAACAGTTATGCGAAAACTGATTTGGCCATCATAAGTTTCATTGGTGAAAACCGCATATCGATAACTGTTTTCGTTTCGGAGTTACAAGATGTTCTTCGAAAATGGGCATTTTTGAAAAGTGGCTACAATTTTTTTTTACAAAAATTGTATGTTCTCATGAAAATAAAAATCATTCCTGAGGCACTGAAATCAGCCCATATCTTGTTGAAGAATATGTTCTTCTGAAGGAAAAGTTCTATTTTGAAACTATATATAGGTATATGGGGACTGATTCCAGTGCCTGAGGATCAATTTTCATGACAAACACAATGTTTTGGCAATGTTTTTATGGAAACGAAGAATTTTTGAAGAAAAAAATGAGTTGCAGCCACTTCTCGAAAATTCATATTTTCGAAAAACACCTTGTGACTCTGAAACAAAGATAGATATCGATATGCAGTTTTCACCATTGACTTTGTCATGTGCAGTGATCAACAGGCACCGATATCAGTTTTTTTTTAATCCAGTACGGGAATAGGACTTTCCCTTTAAAAGTGTCCGATTTCGCCCACCCTGTACAGTTTTGATCGAAATACTCTTGTGGATAATGAAAAACACTTTGTTCTAGTATTCATATCTCTACTACCTTTTCGGTTTTTTTTATCTTCCTTCCTCATTGGTGGTTTAATCAAAAGTAAAACCAAATGACTTATTACTATCTACATTTCATGATATTTTCATATTCAGGTATCCACCATCAATTTCAAGTGTTTACTGATCTGGAATTCTGAAATCTCCATACGTTTTTAGAACCACCCAATATACCAACACGTAAATTTATTTTTTGAAATACTCCCAGTCATTTGTAGGTATAATCATAAAATATGAAATATGGAACGTTCGGCGATATTTTCTGCTGTTCCCAAGTAAACGAACAGGTGTGATTTTCGAAACAGTTATTTATGTAGCAAAGACGAAACACTGTTTTATGGTTGAGTCTGTAAATCGATAGCCGAGGCCTTAGCCGACGCTAGCAATCAGGTGAGACAAGAGACAGTTTTTCGCCGAGGTGCATATTACATTTATCTTTTCGTCTATACAGGGTGATTCAAAAGTAAGCGGCATCCTTTCAGAGGCGTATTCCTTGCATGAAAATAAGGCAAAAAGTTCCTATTGATAAGGATCCGAAAATGCTTCCTAAGGGAGCTACGGCCCTTTGAATAGGACACCTCAAAGACGGTTTTTTCTCTATAACTTTAAAATCCTTCACAACAAATTTTTAAAAATTGGTGTACGGCATAAACATTCGATGGTAAATAGGACTCCGTATTCGAAATTTCAGAATTTCATTCAGGGGCGTCACATGCGGGAGAGGGTAAGTGTAAAAATATCCCTTCTTCTCCGGATATTCAGGTTACTGTGATTTCGTTTGGAAATTATTTCGAATACGGAGTCCTATTTACCATCGAATGTTTATGCCGTACACCAATTTTTAAAAATTTGTTGTGAAGGATTTTAAAGTTATAGAGAAAAAACCGTCTTTGAGGTGTCCTATTCAAAGGGCCGTAGCTCCCTTAGGAAGCATTTTCGGATCCTTATCAATAGGAACTTTTTGCCTTATTTTCATGCAAGGAATACGCCTCTGAAAGGATGCCGCTTACTTTTGAATCACCCTGTATATTGTCTGTCTGACAATGTCTCACTGACATGACATGTTTTTGATTGTGTTCCTTATTTTACAATGTGTTTTCAAACATTAACAAATATAGGTAAATAACAATTAACAATAATATAACATCCTCTTCTTTTTATAAAACGAAATCTTTAAATCGTTCAGGTATTCTTCTTGAGCGGCTGGGTCTATTGTTTGAAGATGTATCCTCTTGATTATCTGCTTCAGATTCATTTTCAATTTTAGATTCATTTCTTTTGGTGAACATATGTTGGTTTCGCTCGTGTCCTTTTCGTTCTCATCTATCTCTTGAACTTTCGGTGTAAATGTTCCTTCAACACTGTTACGCTCTGTATTTCTGTGTGATGCCGTATAGTCATTAAAATATTTTATGTGTACACGGCTCCTCCTGTATTCTTTCTCATTATATAAAATTATATTAGATCGGGAATCATATCGTTTAAAAATTTTACCAGGAAGCCAAATTTCTGAATTGACATTCTTCTTGAAATAAACTAGATCATTTTCTTTCAGCTCTGCCAATTTTCTACTGGTATTGTCATAATATGTTTTTGCCTTCGATCTCAGTTCTTTCAATTTCTCTGGTACATGCTGTATTACTGATGGTTTGTATAAAAACTTGGCAGCTGAAATATCTGATCTTGTTCTTCTGGAAAATACTCTTTGGTTGGGACTTGACTCTGTTTTGTTTGGTGTGTTACGCCATATTAGAAGTGCTTTATAAAAATCGCCATCATCTCCTTGGCTCTTCTTTATGGGTTGCTTCGCAATCTTGACAGCTGCTTCTGCCTTTCCATTTGAATAAATTCATAAAACTATCTTCATTTTTAAAATCTTCACAATTACGGAATATCATACCTAGCATTCTCTTTGCTGGCGATATGATTTTGGTGATATGTGGTGTGAATTGAAGTTCAGAATCGAAATGAATACCGAGATCTTCTGTTAGATCATTTTTCCCCAGATTTATACCGTCGATGTTGTAATTTAATTCAATAATGTTTAATTTCGAGGAATATGTCGCTGAGTGACACTTTTCAATGTTGAGTGGTAGATTATTCGCAGTGCACAAAGTAGTATTTGGTTGATTTCGTTTTGAAGCAGTTGATAATCAGCTATTGAATCGATACATCGAAATAGTTTCAAATTATCAGCAAAAAGAAGCATTTTACTAGATATGTT